GGATGATGGCCGTACCGCCTCATGGGTTTGTGAGCAGTCCTCCACTGCAGAGTCTCCTGGTCCGGACGGTCCACCGCTTCCTTCTGCTGTGGCCACCCCGGTTGCGGATGTTGCTGCCGCTGTTGCAGACTCCCCTGCAGTCTTTCCCGCTCCCTTCCCCTGCCCTACATCTGCCTGCTTGATTCCACCTCAAGCGTCAGATACAGAAAGTCTGTTCACCTCTCGATTCGGCAGAGTTCTTAGGCCTGTGTGTCGGTTGATTGAATCCATGACGCAACTTGAGTCCATTCTAGGGGTTGAGCAAAAATCCCACGCCGTTATTCATGTGTGAATCATGCACGTCAATGATATACTTTATTTTTTTTAATTATTTTTCTTTTCTTTGTGTGGCGTGTTCTTTGGCCTCTCTTGATGCTGTTTTGGTAATGTACTGCTGCATGGAATCCAATTTCTGGTACCCACATTGTTTTGGCCTGAACATGTGTGGTGTATAAGGCACCTCATTTTGTCCAAGGAGTGTTTTGAGTTTTTGCTGGGCGCCAGGCAGGACTCTAACTCTCTTATCCTTTTGTTAGGAAGTGTGTGTCACTGACTAATTCTGCTTTGTTGTGTACTTTTTGTTGTGGCCAGAAGTTTTAAATGTGTGTTGTTATGCTTCCCAGAATTTTGTGTAATTCTAGGGGGGTGAGTGTAACAGGATCAGTCATACAGCAGCAGTTTCATATTAAATATATATTGTTTTATTAGTTATACATACTGTATTATATATTATTTTACTGATTTTTTTATTATTACTCATAATCAATAGAATTCCACAAAATCTGGCTTGCTTTGGTTTTGGTGTGGAACCGTTCACTTTGGGGTCTTAGTACCCCACGTTCGTTTTTCTGGTTACTCACCGTACCCCTATAAAGGAGTTTTTCCCGCCTTGCCTCTCCCCTTTAATACATGTATCTGACGGGAGAGGTAAGCGAGACGGTGCTGCTGTTGTCTGTGTCAACCGATGTAAATAATATCATTTGTAGGTTTATTTTCCCAGTTTTGATGTGTTGTTCTGTTCTTTAATTTCTGTAACAGTACAAGCTGAGACTGACAACGGGTTTTATGGTTGTTTTGTCGTCTGTCAAGGTATGTACTGTATTTACTGTATGAATGAATGGTGAATGTTTCCCGCCTTACGCGGCCCCGCGGCCCCTTTAATACATGTATCTGACGGGAGAGTACAAGCTGAGACTGACAACGGGTTTTATGGTTGTTTTGTCGTCTGTCAAGTTTGTGAAATGTCAATAAATTAGATCGCATCAAAAAGGATCCGACTCATCACAACGCAGAGTCAAGATTCCACCGGTTACACTCACATTGTCTTTAAATTGATTTGGTTTCTGTGGTTCTAAGTTTTAATATTGAAAATCGTCAGGGAAATGTATGTTATTATTATTATTGTAGACCTCTAACTGTAATATTTAAACTTGGGTGAGTTTTTTATTTGTTTTTAACCAGAAAGCACTTTGACTGAGCAGCTGTGGTTTTAAATGAGCTGTATAGATAACTGTGACTTGACTAGACGCTGAGATCTGATCAACAAATCCCACAGATGACGTATGCGGTGATAAATTAGGAATCAAAGTCTTTGTCAAAACAGGAGAAACTGCCATGGTTTCTGTTTTGATCTTTTGCTGGTGTGTATGTGGTATTTTGTAAACAATTTTAGGAATAGAAAAGTGAATTACAGTATAACAACAGGTTGGGCTTGTAGTAAGATCCTAGCCAGAATCAGAAGATAGCAAATTCAAAAGGAGCCAAAGTGTTGAGCAGCAATAATGAGTCAAACACAGGAATAACTGTTGAGTAGTCACTCATATATTTTTACAGTGGATAACTAAAATATTTAATTTGTAAAAAAAAAAAAAAAAAAAAAGGAAAGAAAGAGATAAAACAATGACCAAAATTATCAGAAATAAAACAAACTGTGCACACTTAAACCAAATAAAAGTGTTCATACAAATGTAGTGTGAATGTAGGTGGGTGAGTGTGTGTATGGATATCTCTGTTGTAGTGAGTTTTCCTCAAAGTGGTTGGCTCGCCATCTGTCACGACCGGAATCTCGTCCTGGTCCTCCGATTTTCTCGTCCTCTCAAAAAACCTGACCGTTGCTCTATATCAGAGCCAAACACGCTGATGTCGGTAGCTGCAGCGGCTCTCCGGATGGAAGGTAAGTGGTTAGCCTGTGCGAGACCAAGCTAGCATTAGCATGGACGACGACGATAACCGCCAGCAAGCTTTCTCTTTTGACTCGTCTTACCGACGTAACTTCTCTCCTTCCTTCAGTCACTCGGCTTCGGATCTCCAGTAGGTAAGTGTGCTAGCTTTAACTGGGTATTTTCCTCTCTTTTCTCTGCGTTTCTCTGTCTTTTTAGCAATAGCTTCCCTCTCTCTCGTGGCTGAGATGAGAAAAAGACCCCAAGACCAATGTGCCTGCACTTCACCTCCGAGCCGACGACTGAACGTGATCTGTGTAAACTCTGATTGGCTGTTGAGGCAGGTACCCCACGTGGGTGAACTGAGAGGCGCATTCCAATACAATCGGACATTTAACCGTTTGCCGATGCAAACAAATAAAGAAAATATACAGTCTCTTCTTTTATTACTGGTCTAATGTAATTGTGTTTTTTTCCATCTGGATTACAATTTTGTTAAAAAAGAGGTCTGACTGATGATGTGCATTCTCAATTTTCAGTTTGACTTCACTGGCTAAACTTTGTCACGATGCTGTGTATGTGGAAAACTTCAGTCTAAGTGTTTCTGGCAAACAGTAAAAATATATATTCACTGTTCATTTCTGAAAAAACATCTCAATGTTGTCTAAATCGATTCACTTTATATATGACTACACTGAGTGAAAGATATAGAATTAAAATCCAAATGTCATGTTGAAATATTTCACCTTTTAATGACCTTCATAGATCATTTAACAATGTGTGTAAGGAGTTTCACCAAATGAAGCGATTCCTGGAACAATTCAACAAACAGGATCTGAAACTACATTTGCAGTAAAAATTCAAATACTGCTGTTAAAACTTCGAATAACACAACACCCAACACAAAACCTTGTTGAAATGCCTGTACTTATTTGTGTCTACATGTTCTTTTCTTAATCTTTTATCCTTCAATGTAAGGATACAACTCGAAGAAATCTGACCTCTGTACAGAGAATGGTTACTACATCCAATGTAATTGGGTTCATTGATTACTGAGACAAAGGGGCAGAACATTATTTATGTATAGTATTCGTGAATATTCAGATCTCAAATTGATATCCGATACTACCACAACGAACGAATATTCGGATATTCAGATGTTAGTGTGCAGTCCTACCGGACTCATAACGCTGGATGGATTTCACCTCGCCAGAGCGGACTGGAATGTGAGGGATAGTGGTAAGAGAAAGGGAGGGGGCCTCGCGATGTATGTGAATGAGAGATGGTGCAATGCTGGGCACATTAGTGTTAAAGAGCGGCACTGCACAAAGGATGTAGAAATATTGGCAGTCAGTCTTCGTCCGTTCAATATTCCCTGGGAGTATTCACATGTAATTGCTATTACAGTGTACATCCCTCCCTTGGCTGATGCAACTGCAGCCTGTGAACTCAACCGCAGTGAAGTGTCCCTGCTGCAAACATCACACCCTCAGTCTCATATCATCATCTCTGGAGACTTCAACCACATATCTCTCTCTGCCACTCTCCCCATATTCAACCAGTACGTGACCTGCCACACCAGAGACAGTAAAACCTTGGACCTACTGTATGTGTAGCAGGATAGTCCTGGGCTTGTAAGCCAACCATGGCGCATTAGCCTAGCCTGACTCCGAAGTACTGGATTTCAGATTTCTGACACTTGGACCTGTTTAGCTTCAAGCCTGAAGCTCTGATGATCTGCATGACTGCTCTGAGATTTTGGTCATGGTCTTCCTTGTTCTTGCCGAAAAACCAGGATGTCATCCATCACTACAACCGTGCCTGCATGATCCTTCAACAGGGTGCTAATCTTCTTCTGGAATAAAGGCAGCCTTCAGAAACAGAAACGACCCACTGGGGTTATAAAAGTAGTTAGCTTCCTACTTTTGGCATTGAGTGGTATTTGCCAGAATCCACTGGAGGCATCCATTGTGGAAAAGAGTGGCGCCTCAGACAGCTTCAGTGCAATGTCCTCTCGAGAGGGCAATATGTACCTCTCATGTTTCACAGCTTTATTAAGCTTGGTTAAGTCCACACAGATCCTAGGCTTTTTATTCTTTTTCAGCACCGGCACCATTGGAGCACACCACTCGGTGGATTCTTTTGCTTCCTCAATAATGCCCGATGTCTCCATCCTTTTTAATTCCTCCTCCATCAGAGGCAAGATAGGAAAGGGGATGCGGCGTGGAGTAGCGATGCTATATGGTTTAGCATCGGGCTGGAGCTCTAGTTTTACTGGAGAGCAGTTAAGTAATCTAATGTCCCCAAAAACGTCTTCAAATAGCTCTAGTCCATTGATTCTACATACCAGTCCCATTTCCACAACTGGTTTGCATCCAAGCAGGTTGATAGGAAAAGAGCCGTTCATCACATAAACCCAGAATGTGTACTTGGCCCCCTTTCGCTCACACTCAGTCTGAAACTTGCCTTTGCAAACAAGCTGTCCTCCAGGACTTGAAAAGACTGCCTTGGAGTCTTTCAGGGCTGGGTGCTGGGGCAGGCTAAAATATGTTTGCTCCGATATGACAGTAATGTCTGCACCCGTGTCGATCCTGAATCGTACTGCAGTGCCATTTATCTGTAATTAGGTGAACCATTGGTCTTCATCGGGATCTGCATCAGCTGTTAAGGATCCTAGAAACCACACATTACTTTCATCATCAGCAGTGTCTGTAGTTTTACAGCCCCAACAAGCTTGGTCTTGCACATCACTTCAAAATGTCCTGTTTTGTTGCATTTGTGGCAACGTTTCCCTCTTGCAGGGCACACTCCCTGATCATGTGTCCTCCCACACCTTGAACAATTTTTTATCATGTGCAGCTTTTGATGCTCCATTGTGATTGTGAGAGCCTTTAACTTTAGCTTGTCTTTTTTCAAATGGCTTGCACTGCTTAAACTTACAAGTCACAGCACTTTGTTACGTGCAGGGCGGAGACTCAGGCGCAGAACAACAAAGACACAGTAAACTGAAACAGCTTAGGCAGTTTATTTAACAAATATGAGAATAAAAACAAATCAAAAAGGCTCAACCAGGACCAGGTAATATCTGGCTAGAAAGAAAACAAGAATAATCAGACTAATTCAAAGAGCTCAACTCAGGGCTAAGAAACTGGCAGGCTGATAACCAAACGTTAACTAAAGGGGCTCAGATACAACACTGATTATACTGGTAGAAAGGAAAACAAAAGCAGCTCAGACTAAAGTGCTGAGAGAGCAGATAAAAAGTAACACTAACAACAGATGCTCAGACTGTGAAACTGAGAAGACGGACTGACTAACAGAGGAAAGCAAACAAGTACTCACTGACGGACTGGAACTACTTAGCTAAATAAAGAGCGCATAGGCGAAACAGAGAAACACAACAAATCTATGACGAACTAAAACAAGAGGTAAATTACGATAAATATGTCACAGAGTGATCTTGTGTGTAGGAGAGAGGGTGAGTGCCTGGGTGGCATGTGTGCCTGATTGTAACCCTGCCCCCGGGATTAGGCATAAGTAGATGCTGGTGTGTGTGTTGAGGTACAT